CTTTCGCGCGTCGCGCGGCGACGCAGTGGTGCCGGAAAGGACCCATTTTAGGGGCGGGGCCCAGCACGGTCGGTTGCGGAGCGACAAGATGCAGTCCAAACAGGACGTAGACCGTGCCGTAGCGTCGGCCGTGGGTCGAGATTAGGTCGTAGGCCTCTCCAAACGTCTCGGGCTCGTCGTCGCAGCACCACACAGTCGAGTGAAACTCGCGCCGATTCGATGCGAGAGCGCCTCCGTCGAACAAGTCTTCCCCGGCGAGATCCGTCGCGCGGTCGAAGCCGAGCTCTACGCGTTTGTGCACATCCTGCGCATGCTCCGGGTCGCGCGCATGATGTCAGAGTTCGCCCTGGGCTACGGGCTGGCGCCGTCGCGCACGTACTGCGACAACCAGGCGGTCGTCTTCGCGATGCGCAAGCGCGATTTAACGTCGAAGTCGCGGCACATTCGCGTGCACCTGGGCTTCCGCTACGACATGCTCGACTGCGACGGCGTCAAGATCCTCTACGTTGGCACTGAGGTGAATCCGGCGAACGGCCTGACCGCGGCGGAGGCGCCCGATCGGTTCGCCCGGACCATGGACGCCGTCACCGGCCGAGAGCCGCAGGGCAAGCCGGCCCAGCTACGCAGCCGGAAAAACAGCGCGCTGTGAGTGTGCAGGTCGGGTTCGAGACCAGGTTCGCGTGCTCAGGCTCACCCGACTCTCACCCAGCTCCCGGTCGTGGCCAGCCGCCACGCCCGACTCGCTGCGGGGGAGCAGAGAGGTTCCCCCAACGTCCCCCCAGCCGGGACGTTTCACCTGACTTGCAGTCAGGCATTTTCGCGCTACAGAGAGCGTTTAGCGCATAGGAGATGGTAGCATTTCCCAACCACCTAGGAGGCGGTTCACTGGCACTTTCCCGTGACGTTGACATCAACGTTCCTTATTACCCTAGTTTGGGGTATTTCTCCCTATCCACTTCAACTTACGACCCGTGCACGAGGAATACCCTGTTCAAGTGCAGCCCCGCAATTCCCCCTAGCATCAAGCGTCGGGGTGGAGAATCAAAGTACGGGGGAAGGAGAGGAGGGGCCTAAACTAAGGATACTCTCATGTTCCTCTAACTGGAGAAAGCTGTCTAATGCGGGGGTGTGCCCGTGCGTGTGCCAAGTGTATACGTGGCTGGATGTACCCATGGTCGCCCTTGTGAGTTGTAATCAAGACACCGCTGCAGCCTCCAAAACATAGCACGACTGGGCCCAATCCCCTCCAATCAGCGTCCTCAGCGACGATTCAGCCATCGAGAGAGGCAACCGTAGAGGACATCGAAGCAGTATCAGGCCGTTGGCCAGTGCCAAACTTAAAACCACCATACGTTGTAAACTTGGAGTGAGATTGGATGCCAAGCATTGATGCTGCATCATAGGAACCGGGCCCAGGCACCCCCCTGTCGCGCTGGCGTTTAAGCTTGTCATCGGTACCAAAGGAGTATGAGTTCGCAGACCGATGCTTAGACCTAAATATTCACATTGTGTTCGATAATTGTCAACAACTTTCACAAACTCTGGCGCTGGCTGGAGTTGTTTCCCAACGCCCGAGGGGGATTCATACTTTGACGGGCCAGGCGATGGGTTTTTCACGTTTGGCGAAAAACCGGGCTGTAGCACCTCTCCCATTTTTTCACGGTCGCAGGTACCCATAGAGAATCCAGGTGACGTCGGTCGCATGGATATGACCTGCTTGCCAATGGAGGACGGGGAAAGATACGTACCAGGACCAATATTAATTGTTGTGGCAGAGGTGGTCTCCTGGATTGCTGGTTTGAGTCCGAACGAGAAGCGGGGTGCTGACTTTTTCGTTTTTTCCATGGACGGTCCCATTGTGCCATAGGCGCCGGGTCCAGGTACGCCGCGACCAGCTGCTGCGCGGTTTGGGTCGGTAACATCGCCCGTCGTGTCTGCCCGGTGCATGTAAATTTTCGACCCGTCCGCGCGTTGCGAACTACCAAACTTGAAGGTCGGCGCACGTTGTTTTACGTCCAACTTCTGCTTAGCAGCAGTAACAGAGTATGCATTGGGTCCAGGATCGTCTGCTGTCTGTAGCGCGCGTGCTCGTAGGCCGGTCTTGTCGCGATCAATTTTGCATAGGTTGCCACCGAACTGGGAGGTAGGAGCTTTGGTGAATTTTATGTTGTGCTTCGATTGGACCTCATAGTCTCCTGGGGCAGGGGTAACATACTTCGGGTAAGTCATCCGCCCGCCAGAATGCGGCACGAGCGGCGATGCATCTCCGACGCGAACGGGGCTCGACATGGATCTCTCGCACTCCCAGACACACCAAAGGTCGTTGTGCGAGTGACTAATCGACGATATCCTGGAGGTATCCTAGATGGGATTTCGTAGACGGATCAACCAAATTCGATTAGTCGATCATAAAACACGTGCAATTACGTTGGATGAATGCATCCGCATGAAGTTCTGCTCTATTCCAACGTTTCTGGAGCAAAAGAGTGGCCGAAACGAGCGCAGCCCAGCCCCATGTTGAAGTTCAAGTTGAATAGGTAGCCCTATGTTGAAGTAACCTGTGGTCGTCAGCAGCCGCCGCCGGGCAGTGTGTGGGCCGCTTCACGGATGTGCTCGGAGACCGATGGAGCGGCTTGTCCGGTGCTCTAGGCGCCTCGAATGGCTCATATGGACCACTCGATGTCCATAACTGCAACACGGGTGTGATGAAGTTCAACATAAAATCACCATACCCCGGCCCGACAGCCACAGGTGGTGTAGCAGCGTTATGAATTCCATGGAGGGCATCGGTTGTAAGCTTGCTTGGGCTCTAGAGCTCGAACGAGTCGATTCTCAGCACCCCTTTTGTTTGTTGTTGATCCGTCTCACGAAATCCCATTTAGGACACCTCGGAGGTAGTACTCGGGTTCTAACATTCTACTGGGCTTCTCATGTCCAACTAGCAGCCGGGGGCTTTGTGCGGGGGGTCTGCTCATGCGCCGGTCCGCAGCGCCAGTCCCGCGCCAGTCCCCCGGGAGGGGCCAAAACTGGCACGCGTCGAATTTCCCGCGTTCGTCCGGGGCACAACTAAGAAGAGTTTCGGAAGCATGAGTGTCGGTTCACTGGGAATATCGGATCCGCTTCTTGGCGCCAAACACCAAGGTCGCTGGTGACATTCGAACGGTGAAAACGCCCACATACACACGATGCTAAAACTGGGTGCCAAAGGTCCATATTTGGACGCGTTGAACTGGGAAGATGTCTCTCCCTCCAAATAAGGAGGCCGAATTACCATAGGTTGCACATGGGCGTGAAGCACCGAACCTATTGAACACAATCATGAGTTTCAAGCGGATCACTTACTCGAGAGTCTCGTCAAGACGGAGTGCGAAGCCATCACCGCCCGAGCCAAAACCAAGAACTTCAGGTGTGGCATAAGCAAACATGTCGTTGACGACTTGAGGGGGTGGGGTCAGCGGTGTTGATGTGCAGACTACTTCTTCATCACAGTGGGTTCTAGAAAGGTGTGAGGCTTGATCATCCGGTCCAACCCAACGATATACAGTGACATCAGGGCCTCGTGGGATGTCAGTAGTGAGAAGTCCCGGACCACTTCTGCCTGCAACGGTGAAAACAAAACATTCACCCGTTCCAAAATAATCACCAACCTGAGTCACCAACATGAATAGCACATCGTTCCTTGGGGCACAGGTTGATGACATTGCGGACGGGCTCATCAAGGAATGCACCAGCAACATGCCCGACGTCATCGCGACAAATGATAATTTGAGCTCTTTTTGAACGGGGGCCCGTTTGTCCAGCGCGTGCATAGAGAGCCTCGAGGCACATGCCATCACATGCGGAGTCGTAGACCAGCTCCCAGGGCTTGTGCTGAAGAAGAGGTTTCAGTGCTCGTGCAAGTGCAGTGCGTGCTTTTTCATTGAGGAGGCAGCGCATGCCCGCATCTCTTGACTCGCCATCATCATCCTTGCCATAATGTGAGGTGTCCATACGTACTGTAGGGATCAGTGACTCACTAAACGTTCGACGCATGTCTGCGCCTGGTGCGATGTCGTCCACCATCACATTGGTCCCAGAGACATCTAGCTCTTCAACGCCGCCACCCGTCAAAAGCCGGTCCCAAAGAGCCGATGCTACCGCTGTAACGGTCTTTCCACTCGAAACTTGGCTTGCGCTCGAGTAAAACGCCTCCGCTGGTCGAATACAGTGATCCCAGAGGTGCAGCCGATAAAAATGAAGAGTCACTGGGCGCATACAGGCGACTAGATGCTGATGAATCGCGAATGGTTCTGTCGCACGTGGCACGATTCGGTCGTCGATACCGATAAGAACATCTTGTGCACGTACACCCAGCACCGCTGCTTCCTTCGACACGGACGTGATGACAAGACGACGTGTTACACGCGCGTCGTATTCAATCTCCAGGCCCATGCGACCACCCCCAAAGGTCACACGGTATCGTTGCCAGCCAGCGATCGCCTTGGGAGTCGTCTCCGTATCTAGTCCTCGCAAGTGAAGCTCACGAAAATACCCACGAGATACTGCACGGTTAGATGAGCCTGCAAGCGTGCACGCAAATAATGTTCGACCTTCGGCTGAAAGTCTATGTGTCAGTTCCAGTTTGGAAAGCTGCATCACCGTTGCAGAGAAAGACTGCTTGGACTTGGACTCTTGTGCATCAGAACTGCTACCATGTGTATCGTCGTTGATTTTTATGCTGTTGCACGCACACTCTGACTGATGGGCTTCAATTAGCTCGAGGGCCCTCATCACCTTCGCACCGCACTGTTTGCATACTGCATACCTGATCGAAAATCATTTTGCAGGGTCCTATTTCTTTGGCGCCGCCACGCGCTCGATGACAGGCTTTACATATGGTCGCGCCGAGGGTGGGTCCCCCGCTTTAACTCGCGCGTATAGGTTTGAAAAAGATATGCTCATCCAAACTCTCACTGGTAAGCATCCGAAATTGTGGCTAACATCGTAAAGAACACCGGACAAGATCCTCTTTGTTAGAATCCGAGTATGCCAGTATGAAGCACCAGCATAGTATAGCATGAGCATAGCCAGTATAAGGCAGACTAGAGAGATAGAGAGATTTCTATCTTCATTTTTAGTGAACTGCATCTTGATGTTGCAGTGCACCTTACCCCACTGCGCTCCTACTGCGTATCCTGCTAGTTTTCCCTTCCCTTCCTTAATTCATTCTAATCCAGTTTCAAGTCTTATAGACAGCGAACTGAAGGAGTGACTGCCAAGCAGGCACAGAGTGCATAGCGCTCTTCTGTGTCTGTGGTGTCTGTCTGGTTAGCGTCACAGTGACGTGCCAGGTAGCACCAGGCTCAGCGAGGTTGCACAGTCGCCGGACAGTGCACCTGCTGGATAGTAGTTTGACTGACGTCACAGCGACGTTAGGAAGCTAGTAAACTATCCTAACTTTCTACAGACTTAGCATAGCCAGCATAGGCCAGTATGAGCGTCCCAGCATAGGGAGGATAGCATAGTCCCGAGTTAGGGTAGCATAGCCCAAAGAGCGGAATGTAAGCTCCCTAGGTAGCTGGCTTATCGCCAAGCGCACTTTGATTGTGCTTAATCACACTCGCGTTCTGACCTCGATAGTCGCCGTTTATCATGGTGGCAGGTGCACTGTGATCGCAACCAAAACCGAAAAACACACGGGCGACACTCGCACTACACGCACGAAACGCGCACGCGAATTTACAAACAAAAGGGAGCTTTGTACCTCCTTCATTTGGCCAACCACCTGACCCAGAGTCTGCTGAATCTGCATCAGCATCTGATTCGATGACTCGGGGTCAGGGGGCTCCTCTCTGCGTTTCTCCTCCTCGATTATCTCGTCATTAAGGGTGCTCAAGAAACTGTGAACCTTTCCTCAGAAAAATCTGGTTTATCAGAATTCTCATATGGTAGTAATTCAAACATGAAAGTCAGGAGTGTGTCGGTATGGATCGGCGCAGCCGTCTTTGACGACACACCCATAGCCATCTCATACACACCACACATTTCAGCCCCCAAATGCTGCAGCAACTCTTCACCCAACTCATCACTCAAAACCAACCCTTGGATGTTAGATGAGACCATATGACCAAAAATATAAGCCGCGCCACCCCGGACCCCGGGGAAGCGGCGAGCTGGGAGAGGACCACCACAACCAGCAGTTTTATTTAGCTGGATGATGATAGGTGGTCTAAACTCACTAACTCGTTACCGGAAACATATTGTACTGCCGTAAATGCAATTATCCAGTAATCCATAGAATGAGCCTTAACCTGTTACATATCCAAGCATAGTAGGCTAGTATGAGTTTCTCTCTGCTTTAATCACACTCGCTCCGCGCAAAGCAAGTTCCTTAAGGTTCACAATATTAACGACATGCCCCACACAAAGCGTTCCCCGAATAGCAAGTATTGTGCGTTCGTCGGGTGTTTGCGAACGGAATCGAACAAATGCGACTCAAAGAGAGCTAGCTTCTAGTCCATGTCTTCAGTCGGCGATAGGCGGGTATGGACCGTCCAGGAAGACAATGCCATCAGACAACTTGTCATGAAGTACGGAACGCGGTCATGGAGTGTGATTGCAGAACACATTGTGCAAGACTTCAACATAGATGGGCGCACTGGGAAACAATGCAGAGAGCGTTGGCATAACCACCTTGATCCCCACATAAACAAAGAGGCATGGACCGAAGAGGAAGAAAGAATAATGGCAGATGCCCATAAGACGTTAGGTTGTCTATTTCACATGATGATGGTCCAAATTATTTGACTCAGGTAACAAGTGGTCGGAAATAGCAAAGCTACTTCCTGGTCGGACTGACAATCATGTGAAGAATCACTGGTGAGTACTCAGGTACAATCCTATTTATTTGGACATTCTGTCATCAGGTACTCTTTCATGCGACGTAATGTTCGCAGACTGAATCGAGAGGTCAATGACGGCCAGCCCAATCACCAACATGTTGGGATAGGCTAGTCATACCACCGAGATCCCTTATCTCAGTCTGCTCATTGCACAGTCGCAAAGCAAGCACGGCCGTCTGACAGCTTTCAAGCCCCCCCAAAGCGAGGTAGATCCCGCAAGGCGGCGAATCTGGCAGAACTTCAACGGTACTTCACTGCTGCTGCCGAGGCAGCATCCGAAGTGCTTCATGAGGACACTTCATCCGACAATCGGGAGGACCTCGCTAAAATTGCCGAGGTGGAAATCAAACCTCTTGATAGCCCCAGGTAATGTGTGATTTTGTTTCTTCGCGTAAAGCCCCCCTCCGTAGTCGCATGGTTGCTGTTAGTCTCGCGAGTGGCAACCTACGATTCCGAGACAAGCTTCGCGAAAAACTCGAAGCGACGGGAGGTGTAGCGTGCAAGATACATGTTGGAGCATCAATCCAAAAGCCAGAGTCAGCACCAGAAGTGCGGCCCAACCTCCGTATGATTCATGTATCCAGCAAGTGACGCCTTTGCATGCTAGGCCAATGTGATGATGCAAGTAGATCTAAACAGAAGGTAGATCTAGTGATTTTGCATATATCTTACCTGCTAGTGCAGGAAAAAGGAATGTGTAGTCGATAGTGGCGCATGTGCAGTCGATAGTGGCGCAAACCAGCGTAAGTGAGCCCAAGCCGGTTGCACCCACTCGTGCAGCTATCCCAATCCATGGCACCCGTCTCAATTCTCAAGCTGAGTCAAGTAAAGGCATCAAGAAGCGGAAGAGAGAATTGCGTGTTACAATCGACGAAGCTGATAATTTTGGTTTAGTTTTGGTCAGGAGCTCACAGAGCACCCTAACAGAAGCTAGTTCAGCTCCAACGCCCAACAATCCTCGGTGAATTCTTGTGTCCTTATTTCAAATAAAAGTATTGTCTAGTCAACTCCTCCGATTGCAAGCAAATGTTCCATGGCCAGGAGACTCACTCGAAAGGTCCACCATCTCAGAACTTCATTAAGCCCATCCGCGCACCTTGCACAGTCCTCTATCATTGGAGAGGCATACTGATTTTGCATTTGACCAAGTTCCAACAACGAATGAAACTCACTGTGCCCACAGTCAAATGAGCAGGCCAAGCAGCATTTTGTATTCAGATTCACTGAAGTGCGTATCATTACATGGGCCTTGTCAGTCGATAAAAATCGTGCAAGCTTCAGGTTTGATTTTGATGAGGTGGTCGCCCACTACCCTTGATCGGTGCTTATGCGCAATGGGCACAACCTGGCCCTGTTCGCGAATGGCCTGGCCCTGTTCGCGAATGGGCGAGTGTCTGAAGCCCGGCACACTCCCAAAACCCTGTCCGTCTGAGTTCGGTGTCGGGGGCTTCCTGGTTTGATTTGTAGCACAGGGCTATTTTAATTGTAGCGCAGGCTTTAACTTGGGGTAACTGGAGAAATAATGTTACGCACCAGCAGGAGAGCCTAACTAGGGTAGGTACAGTACTAGCATGATAGTAGTAGGGTCGTGGTAGAGTAGTGTACTGTACTACAGTATAGTCATGGAGATATAGAGACAGAGACAGACAGACAGACAGCAAGGTCAGTCTATATTCTTTGCAGTCGGCTTTCATTCTGGCATCTTTAATTGAAACTGGGCTCAGCCTCCCCTTGAGGGAGGATTTTTACTTTGCTTCCTTTAGCTCAGGCTAGTGGGAGATACGAAAGGCCAAGTGCACGGAAACCAATAGATTCCCGACCTTCGAATGACGTTCAACACGGACTATAATTTCAAGGAGTGACGGTATTAT